ATTATGGCACATAATCGAATAGAGTGGGAAACAATAATTCTAAGAATTTCAGGAAAACCCATGGAGTTTTATCGAGGAAAAAAAGGAAAACATATGGAGTGAATTTTGTTAATGTTCATTAACATAATAGTTATAAAAAGTAAAATAAATTGTATTATCTTCAACAGAAAATACAAAATATTGTCCACCAAATAATACAACTACTTCTCTTCAATGTACTTTCATCATCCGTGCAAATAATCACACAATAATAACAAAATAAAAACAAATGCTTAGTTCAAATCAACCATTACTTGTAAGTAACCTGTAAACAAAATTAGATTCTCATTTGATATAATGACAAATAACCTAAAGGTGTTAGATTACGAAAAAATGATCCTTGTTTGGACAATAACAACCATCCATTTGAGGTTATCTCTCCACTTAGTACCCTTTTTTTTTCTCAAAATGATAATTACAACCTACTCATTTTACTCATAATCATTTAGAATACTGTTTAAGAAAAAAAAAACATAAAGGGATCTCATAATGCGTACCAATAGCTTATAAGCTCATTATCCAAATATTTAAAAAATAAGTTTAAAAATAAGACATAACTATAGACCAACTCTTAAAATAGTTTATTACAATAAGGCATAATCAGAAGATGGACTATTTCCTCTTCATTTGCTTCATTTTCACGTCTTTTTTGTTTCCTAATAACTTCAGTCCGGAACTCATAAGGCTCATAAGCCTGAATGACTTCTGCTAGCTATTGCTTCAAATTCTATATAAAATACTATGATACTGAAATAATGACAAAAATACACATACATACATAAGCATGGTAGATATAGTTAAATTATTAAATAAAGCATCAATATAACACTTAAATAGCCACATAATTCGAAATATGTGAGTAACATGTTGTTGTTTCCCAAATTTCATACATAAGCACATTTATATGTCACTGTAATACTTAAATTTCCACATAATCGAAACTCACAAATAAGGGGATGTTGGTACCCAAAATTTCCTATATAAACACATTTATATTTGATAGGCTTCATCGTAATCAATAATTACAAATGGTGCAGTTTACTCATATCCAACTCATATCCAGATGAATGTCAATATAATCTAGTATAATGAGCATAAACCTCACTAAGAATACAAAAAAGTTTTTCCTTTCCCTTAATTAAAATTTCTATAAAAAAATAAGAACTTGTTTTTTGAATTCGATAGTTCCCACACGGGTGCTAATAGTGAAATCATAATAACTACAAATAATTTGAAATTTGAAAACCTTCGGAGACCTGAAAAACCATAAAGCTCCCATCGATCGATAATCATTATAAGACCCTGATTTTTGGAAGAACATAAAGTCGTAAATATAGTGCATGGTTGATCCACTAACCTTATATGGGGGAGAATTTTGGTAAAGCGGCCAATATTATCATCTGCAAGAAAAGCAACAAAAAATATAACTAATAGTATTTGAAGGAAAATAGTGTGTGTTTGTGTAATGTTGGAAAGGGGTAGGGTAGTAACAAAACATAAGATGACATAACCAAAACACTTGACTATCAATTAAAGAACCTATAAGACATCATACGGAAGCCAACTTAACAATCCTACTACGGATATGAATGTGACCGACGGAATAGAATCACCTCACTGCAGCAAAACACTTAAAAAGACTATCACTAACACTCTAAAATCCGGTAAAAAAATTTCTAAAATACGGTAAAACAAATTATGAATCTAAAATCCAGAATTACTAACTGCTTATAGAAATCAGAAAAAAATCCAATGAGATGCATTTAATTTATAAAATCTGCCCTTACGAAATACAAACACAAACATAAACACAGTACATCACACACATAAATTGCATTGCACGAAACACATTAGCGCACACACTTTCATATCTTATATGAAGAAAGAATTGAAAATAAGAACCCTATTGCTTTTCGCTACTGCTTTTAAAAAACACGCGGAAGTCAAAAAATTCATACCCGAAAAAACTTGCTTTTCCCTACTCTTTTGTATGTTTAATTGTCAGACAATTGAAATGTATACAACCTGCGGTTATACCAAATAATAAAGCTAAGCTGTGAAAAAGATAAAAGACATTGATAAATTAGAAGGACCTCGAAAGAAAGCAATAAAAAACATCGGAAAAGTATTGGACATCACTATAGCAAAATGGTCACTCAAACTTTTCTTCGAAATGTAAATTCAAAATACTATGTCCAGATTCCACATTGCTTAATTAAATTTCAAACATAGCATTTAACTGAAATTACATGTCAAAATACTAATTTAATTTCTCGCTTCATCAGAATACTATTGCTTTTTAAACCTAAATTATAGCAAATAAAATCATAACTCATTACTAAACAAATTAAAAGCAAAACCTTAGATAAACCCAATTTATTTGAAACGATTATATTCTTAAAAATTATGCAAAACTTTTTATGCAAAACTTATATAAGGGGATCATCGTGTAGTGTAATTATTTGGAGCTACGGAAAAACTGAATATAAAACTTGGATATCAAGAGTACAAAAGTTG